GACGTGCTCCTGGTCAGTCGGAAGGCAGATGAGGGAGTAGGGATACTACCTGTGCTGGATGAGGTTACGCTCCCCCTGAAAACTTAGGTCCGCAGCTTGGTTGTACTCCTGGATTCAACCCTAAGCTTGGATGCCCAAGTCTCGTCGGTGCCCAGGAGTGCGTTTGCACAGCTAAAGCTGGTGCACCAGCTGCACCCATTCCTTGAGATGTCGGATCTGGTTACTGTGACGCATGCATTATCTATGCCTACCCATAGATAGGCGGGATATAAATAAAATAAATAAATAAATAAAATAAAGGGGAGGGAAAAATGGATCAAAATGCTGCAGGATTGCTTTGACCCCTGCTTTCCCCCCTCTTGCTATGCCCCTGGGCATAGCAAGAGGAGGGAAACAAAAAAAACCAAACAAAAAAATGACCTGACGAATGACGAATTGATTCACTGTTCCTCGGGTCACTGGGGGGCAATTCGTAGTTCATGGGTCATCAACTTTGATGACCCATGAAGCAAGACAAAGCGCCATTTTGGTGCTTCATCCCCATCTCTACATAGGATTATGCAAAAAAATTGCAAATAGAAGTCACAAAAGTTCATGGCAGAAGTCTATGCTTGGTCTGCTTGAGGTGAGTTCAAACCATGACTGCAAACCCTTCCTGGAGGCCTACTTGCCCGTTCTTGCATTTGTGTAATCTTGAGGACTACATGGCATTTTCTTAATTTTTTTTCTGCGCTAAGCAATTAAAATTAGCATTCACATTGTATTGCCAATGCTATATAAGTATTTAAAATTTATTAGACACGTCAATCCTAAAATGATATATTTTAAAAACTTTCTCAACACATGTCTATAGAACAGTGGTTCCCAATCTTGGGTCCCCATATCTTCTTGGACTACAAGTCCCAGAAATCCTGGCCAGCACAGCTAGTAGTGAAGGCTTCCGGGAATTGCAGTCAAAGAACACCTGGGGATCCAAAATTAGAAGCCACAGCTATTGAAGAATCTAAAGTGGCTCTGCTAAGGTAGCCACTCTCTGCATGATGCTTTTTTCAAGTCCTTACTAGACTGTTTACATAATCCATACTTTAAACTACTCATGATGCGGTGGTTAAACAGCTAGACTGCAGTCTGCTCATGACCAGGTTCAACCCCAGTTAGGTGGCTTGAGGTTCACTCAGCCTTCCAGCCTTCCAAGGTTGGTAAATTGAGTACTTTGCTTGTGGGGGTACAGCAATGTGTAGCCTGCATTAAATTGAAAACCACCGGGAGTGTGTGTTAAGCACTATGGGACGGTATACAAGCAGCACGATTTTGCTTTGTTTTACTCACACACACATATATATATATATATTTTAAAAAGCAAAGCATGCTGCTTATATCCCGCCCCATAGTGCTTCAAGCACTCTCTGGGTGGTTTACAAGTTAATTATGCAGGCTACACATTGTGCCCATTTAGTCAACCGGCTACTTTGGGCGGCTAACAACATATAATATAAACAATTTAAAATATAAGGACAAGATAACGCAATCAAACCCCCTACGGCCGTTTTATATGTGCTGATGCCAAACTGGAGATGATTTTAAAAATAAACTAGACCAGAATTGCTGTGCCTTTCACCCAAGTGGGGAAGATGGTGAGCCGTGTGGCTGCTGAGTCACCCGTCCAGGTGTTGCTTACCTGCCCATTGGCACCTCTTTTTAAAGGCTCTCCATCTCCTTCTGTTGTGGTTCCTTATCTTTGAATCAGACATGGGTTGGCAGTGATCTAAAAGGAGGGCAAAAATCAGATGGTCCCTTTAAAAAGCCCTTTAAAAAGGGAGGAATGTGCCCTCTAAAAGAGAGCATGCAGCCACCCTAACACAAGCATCTGCATTTCTTTACCCGTGTGCTTATTTATTGCAGGGATAGACTTGACAAGACAAAGGTTTATTTATTGTCTGATGATTATTTTTTTTAGTGGTTTATAAAGGGTATCGCTGATTTTTGCATTTGGACTTAACTTGGCAACAACAACAAAAAAATTCAAACAGAAAGGAAACGCAGGGAATCGAAAAATCATCTCTGCTTTTCTCCCAGCAAAGGCTCGGAAACATAGAAACCTGAACAGCAACTTCGGAGTCGTTCTTTTCTCCCTCTTTTCCCGTGCAGCCCGGCATATAATTACTGTACTTGGAAGTGGCATTCCATTCAGTCATAAAGAATGTGCTCAGGATTGCATCTGGCTTTCAAAGAGGATGTGGGCAGAAGCAATACAGAAAGGTGCCTGCCTGCCTCTGCCCACGCAGCCAGAAAAAAAAGGATTACACTAGAATTGAGGAAATGGGAGCGGAGAATCTTGCTCTCTTTCTACTTTCACTGGCAGTAATCCCAGGCTGATGAGACGGTTAAGGAAAACAGCACATTCTGATATAGAGTTGCTTCAGTTCCTTCTTGTTAACAGTGCCTGCCCTCCGATATTTGTGTCTATTAACAACAATGTTGTTTCCCCTACCAGTGTAAGAGGCTGCCTTATACAGTGGTGTCTTGCTAGACAATGATAATCCGTTCCACTGAAATCGCAGTCTAGCGAAATCATTGTCTAGCGAAAATTGTCGTCTAGCGAAAATCGGTTTGAGAAGCAGGGACCAAACATTGTCCAGCGAAATTTCCCCATAGGAATCACTGTTTTGCGAATCGCTATGGCGATTGCAAAAAGTCAATGTCTAGCGAAAAAACTGTCATGCGGGGTAACTGGCTAGCGAGGCACCCCTGTAATGGAGTCATTCCACTAATCTCATCCTGCAGGTGGAAGCCAATGATTTTCGTTGTATGTGTATACGGTGCATATACGTTCAATGGAAAACTATTATGATCTAAACTGCTCTTGATCCGTGACTTTCACAACGGGCTATTTCATTTCATTTTTTTAATTTTTGTCCCGAAAGGACCTGACCTTCAGAATATAAGAAATGTTATGTATATCTGATTTAGCTTTTTAAAAAATCCTGCCCTACCCTTTAGGTATATTTTTGACTAATAAAATCGGCAGGGTGGATTTGATTTAATTCACATTTTAAATCACAATTTAAATTTAAAAACTGGATTTTTAAATGATTCAAATACATTTAAATTGTGAATTGAATCATGATTTAAATTGCATTGATTTAAAAAAAAATCCTTTATTTTTATCTACTGTGAAAAACGGACTAACATTTTAAATCACAATTTAAATTTAGAAATCACATTTTTAAATTGATTTAAATAAAATATTGCTTTTTAAAAAATTTAAAATGTAAATTAAATCATGATTTAAATTGAACTGATTTTTAAGAAATCATTTATATTTATCTACTGTGAAAAATGGGTTAAGTAGAGGTTTGGGTTTAATATGAGTGCAGGAATATATTCCCTGGCACCCCAGTTAAAATACTAAGTGATAGCTTTATCCCTTGCCTCTCCTAAAGGTTAAATGGTCGAACCAAATGGTCAGATATAATTTCAACACAGAAATCCATAATCTGGTGCATCTAAGGGAAAGGGGCCCATCTGGATTTTAAGGGAGATATGTCACTTGAACAGATATGATACCCTGATCCCACCTGTTAGACTCATTGAATAAGTGGGGTTTACATAAGTGGTGCCCCCAGTCTCTGGAAGAAGTTACCAACTGAGGCTCCTTCCTTCGTTATGTTTTAGAAATTGGTAAAAATTGAGTTATTCAAAAACTGCCTTCAGCCACTGAATCTCCAGGATGATGTAATATCTCTCTCTCTTTATTTTTGTACAACTTTTAGACTTTATAGTTATATATCAGCATATTGTTTGTATGCATATTGCTGTATGAGGTTTTGGTTGTTTTTTTTTAGTTTTTATCTGTAATACACCCAGAGTAGTGGTTGCATTAATGGGGCAGTATCCAGTGCGGTGTAATGATGGACACAGGGTTCAAATCCCCACTTGGCCATGGAAACTCACTAGGGGAGTAGAACAGGTAAAACCACTCCTTAAATATCTCATCTACCTTGAAATCCCTGCTAGGTTCTGACTTGACAGCCCAGGACACACACACGCAATCTAAGTAAAAAAAAAATTTACAATCAACACTTGAGTTCACTCTAGTTGGGAACAGAGATGGGTATGAATCTCGGTTTGGAGGTGGGGAAAGGGAAGGTTCATGCCCATCTTGAGTCTGGACAAGCTAAAGTAGTCTAGTACAGTAGTTCAGATTTGGGTTTAAGCAGTTTATATTCTAATTTTGAATTTGAGAAATGGGGGGGAAGCAACTACAGTATATTGATTTTTTCCTGGTATGCAGGTTTTTGCAGAGTTCTGTGTGTGCCACGAGCGTGACATAAGACTGAGCCCTTACCCCAGACATTCACAAATGCTTTGAATTATTTTTAGTTGTGAAGTTTCTAATTGCAAATACAGCATAATTACTAAGTGTTGAAGATCAGAAGGATTTATTATAGTCTTCCATTTATCAAACGAGAAGGATATGGGTTTTTAAAAGGTGTGAGAAACAGGAATAGACTGTTTCTCTTTTATGCTTGTTCCAAATTTAAACGTAAGAGCTGCCAGTAAGCTGTTTAAGATTCGGGTGTTTCCCTAACCAATTTGTTTTGTTTAATCAAGGTGGCGAGCAGATTGATCTGCATAAGGCAAACTTGATAAACTTGCACTGGCCTCATTTGGCCTCTGCATTTCTCTCTCTTTCCAAATAAAAAACACTATTAGCAAGTGGCTTGGGGACGCTGTTCTGAAAGTTATACTAAAGGCTGCTGAGGATTCAGTACTGCTGTGAACTATCCACTGGAGCAGAGAGGCTCTCCCCAGATGGCAAGGGAATTTTTTAACGTGGGAGGAATGTTGCAATTCAACTCCTATAATCCAAGCATAGTTGGCCTGGCGCTCCATGTCACTGAAACGAATGGCGCCCACTTTCTGAGCTGGCTGGGCCACTTGGAAATAAATTCTGTGCAAACCTACGAGTTCCGCAGCTTGTCTCACACACGGATCTTGCGCTGTGTCCCTTGCACAGATCACATGGAGAAAGTCCTGTGAGTTTGCGGTGACGGTGTTTCGGCCAAAAACTATCAACCATCAAAATACTACTGCTGCAATTTATCTTCTGCCGATTCGTGACCGTGGAAGATTTGCAAAGGGAAATGAGGATGTAGGTAGAGAGAATCTTCATCTAGAAACAGAGGCAGAGTTCCAGTGGCAACCGAAGCATTCACACCGCAGAGGTAAGAGAGGACGCACTCCTTTTTTTT